ACTATTTAGTTATTTTTAGAACTTTTTCAGTTTTTCATATTCACTATCCTACTATCTTAGTATATTTTATAGTTTTAGTTGGATTGAAAATATTTAATCATGTTACTATTATTGTTGGACTTCATATTTTGTAAAACATGATATGATTATTTTAATTTTAATTTTTATATTTATAAAACTATATAATCTCTATAAATTGTAAATAAATTAAAATAATAATTAATTGATCCGTGTTTGAACCCGGTTAACCTAGTGACTCAGAAAGAAGTCTGCTTCATTGTTTGGATCGGATTTAAAAACATTGATACAAATGTGTAAAAGAAATTGCATGATTATAGACGATTAATGGAGAAAAATTAAGCAAATAGAGTACGTAGTATAGATTTTACACTACTACATATTATTGAACGTATTATAGATTTTACACTACTACATATTATTAAACGTATTATAGCATGATTGTTAAGTAAAAGAAATAGTAAAACGTTAAATGAATAAAATAAACTAACTTTAGCATCAATCAAGATTAATTTTGGATGCTTTCACCAACATTAGCAAAGTATTGTAGCCTCTACTACATTTTAATGATCTTGCTAATACAGAGATAAAGGTGGTCTCGAAGCCTCTCTTACTAATATTAGTTACATAATCATTTGTTTAAGTTTGTGGTATATTTATTTTGGAAAGATTTGTTGCATAATTATTTGCAATTTTAATTAGAAATTCGTTTTGATTGATGGAATATATGTATGTATAATACTAATGGCAAATTTTGTAAATAGTCTAATAAAATTTGGGCAATTATTTAAATAGGTGACAAATCATTCTGAGAGCGACATGTCATCATGACAATCTTGTTAATAACACGTTAATGTAAGGTTTATTTTTTTAGAGTGTTTCTCTATTAATATATAAGGGATTTGGAAAATTGAAAAATCTAAAATGGAATTATATAAATTTTTAAGTTTTTTTTTGTTATTTTGTTCAAAAAATCTGTTGAATGTTTTGTATTTACATTTTGAAGAAATATACCATATATATACTTTAATTGTATTTATATTTCATTAGTATTTAATATGTATAACATTTATATATATTTATATTTCATATGTATAGGGTTAAAAAAACATTTATATATATTTATATTTCATATACTTAACCTGTTTACCCAGGGGACCAGCGGCCGATTTCTATACGAGAACTTAACTTTCTCAACCGCTCCTACATCAAGCACTTGTTTGGTGATCGCATATAACCAAATACCTTTGGTGATCGCATATAACCAAATACCTAACCGAACATATGTTGCCACCGATATTGGCGGCCTGGTGAAACCGTATGGACCACCCATCTATTTGAGAACCAGTTATCTTGTCGCATGTGGAACAAATGTGTCTTCTCGAATGGTTTGTGGTGGTAATAGAAACCAACACTTTTTTGATACAAGCAACTTATTGGTTGAGTAAAAGATAACTGAGCCCTGATGTGATTGATTTTTCAAAGTTCCCAGAATGGAGACGCTTAATGCCAAAGGACAATTGAAAACTAAATCAATAAACAAAATATGCAAAGAAAACAAATAGTATAGTTACATAATGATTCTTACCAATTGGAGTTGCAAAGTACAGAAGACAACCTTCTTCTCCATCCAACGGTTAGCACTCATTTGGCATTTAAACTCATACTTCTTCGTTTTTTTGTTTTTTTTGCTTGCTAATTTAAATAGTATAACCTATAATTATTACAACTACTCATGTTGCCGTCGAACAAATCTAGAGACAACTTTTTTTTTCGCCTAGAGACAACTTATTATTATAACATGTGCATATCCAAGTGAAAGCATCAGACGGTCAAAGAAACTCATGGGGTATTCTCGTTGTCCATCAGTTCATATTAAGAAGATAAAAAAGCAACAGAAAACTTTAGTCATTTTGTATTTTTACTGATGAGGTTGATATATAGTCAATTTTTATAACAAATATAGGCTTTCTTGTTTTCTTTTTATCTCATTTCTCGTATATATGTTTATGTTTATGGATAAAATAGTACATAAAATTTTAGTATTTTCGAATATATATTCATTTACGACAAAGCCGAATGCATATTTAGTCATTTAGAAGTGTTATGTACGTTTATAAATTTCAACATAAACGTTTTTGCCCCGAAAGAAAACATATATATTTGAAACATCAAATTATTAGTCGTATAGAGAAAGATCCATGCACATCAGAAATATGAAATGAAATTTGACTAGTATATAAAGTATATGAAGCAATCCACTCATTGTCAATTGATTTTGAGTAGGAATTCTACAGAACTTAACATTATATCAGAGTCCGAAAATAGTATGATCACTCCCACTATTTAATGATGACCCAAAAAAACTTAATTTCAACGAAATAATTAGAAAAACATTATTTTAAAGAATCATTATAGATTAATAGGTAGAAACGCTATTATCCCCAAAAATCGTGTGGAAAAAGATCTTTCATCAAAAAAATGAGAAAAGACATGAATACTATATAAGCGACATATTATTATTCATATAGAACTAGAAAATTTTATCTAGAATTACTAAAACTGTTATAGAAATACCACATATCACATCAAATTCAATGTTTTAAACAATTGTAACTAAAACAGTAACAAAACATTATGGGTGTGACTGGTTTAAGAATTATAATAAATGGAAAGAAAAAATAGAAGAAAAAAATAGTCACATCAGAAGGAAAAATGTATTATACTTGATGTGAAGATGGAAGAATTCATCAGATTTAGTTACTTTTTGGGTCTGACTGGTAGAAGGGGAGAAGAAATATTTCTTCTCTAATAATCTCTGTACCCACCACTTTAATTTTTTGTTCTCAAAGAAAGTTTTTTTTTCCAGCAGAAAACTTTCTTCCGCTTAATATTAGAAGTACAAAATTCCTCCAACTTCCTCTAGTTTTATCTTTTTTACTTATACCAGTCAGACCCTTTAATCTTTTCAGAAGAAATATTTTCTTCCACTTTATATTTGACTGGTACACTTTAAAAAAAATTTGATTTCTTCCATTTTCTTTTATTCTATTAAAGTTAACCAATGACAGCCAATAAAGATTATAAGTTTTTTTTCTCAGTAATAAGTGTTTTTAATATCGTGGTTGAGCACAATGAATTAATATCATCACTATAAAAAAAAAAGGAAAAAGAAAATACTAATATCACAATTACAAATGAGAATGTACGAGACAATTGCAATAAAATGTAGCACGGTTATGTATAGATTATTAGGGTTTGTTGGTGCTTGAATTGGCATCCACGACAAATCCGGCCAAAACCAAAAAGAATTCAAATTGATGAACAATTCCACTAAATCGGTAAATCTGATTTGATGGTCCATAGGCAAAAGATCATAGGAGGTCGTCAACCGACTTCCCAAAGCGAAAAAGAAAAGATCGTCTATCTACCTTCTAGAAACAGAAAAGGAAACCTTCATTTTCGAAGATAGGGTCGGAAGCTCTGAGAAAAGAGGGGAATCGGAAGATAAAGGTAAATTAAAAATTCGGGCCCAAAATTTAAGGAAACAAGACATATTCCTGAACCGACCTATCTCCGATATAAATATATATATATAAACCATAATTAAGGCAAAGGATCGCGATTTCATACTAAAACCCAGTTCTTTTTTTTGTTTTTGAGTAAAACTTAACTTATTTTTGAAAAGATTAAAAACTTCTTTGTGATCGAGTCTTTGATCGATATTTCAAGAAAGAGAGTCTTTCGAATTTGTTTTACCGTTTTAAACAAATTTATTCTGTGAATCCAATCCAAATTTAACAAGGTTGCTATCGCATCATGCGGAATGGTCAACATTTGTAGCCTAAGAGTCACGTCTACTGAATCATTTTATAACTATTTTTGGTTTTATTTTTCTCATTGTTGGTCATAAAGTTAGTCTAAACTAAGTCTGATATGTCGTGAAAAGAAAGGTCGATAGGATATAGGACAAAGATTAATACAAAGAGAAGTAAAGTTAATGAAGTTTGGGAAAGAAAGACTAACACAGACTTGACACTTGTTCTATCCATGGGAGCTTGCCACGTCAATCTCATTGTCTTTGGACTGGTAGACAAAAATGACATGGGTGGCCATTCGGTTCTAGTTTCGGTTAAGAGATTTTCATGGTTTAGTATTCGATTTTATTTTTCTTCTACCGAATTAGAACCGGTACTTCTTTTTGGTTTGAGAGAAAGTTCCGGTTTGATTTGGTTGGGGTGTTAATGTGTTATTAGTGGTATCAAAGCGATGTAGAAAATGAGATTTTTTTTTGTATATATATAGATAAGTAGTGATCCAAATTTTTATTATTCCACTAATTCTCCCCGAATGTGTGTAGCCATGCAGTCACCGAATTTTTTAATTTTATTGTATATCAAAAAATTTATTGTGTGTAAACTTTTAATTTTATATGATATTTACAGTTATTGTATATCAAAAAAAAACATCAATGATGAAATGAGGAACATATAACATATCTTTTAGTCACAACTCACAAGTGAATAGATTTCTCAATAATCTAAAACATAAAATAAATTCATCAGAAAAAGAATATGATGATGAAGAAATGTGATTATTTGTGAAATATATAAAAATTCAAGACCCCGTTTTATTTTCTTATTCAATTGTCATTTGGCATTAAGCGTCTCTATTCTGGGAACTTTGAAAAATCAATCACATCAGGGCTCAGTTCAGTTATCTTTTACTCAACCAATAAGTTGCTTGTGTCAAAAAAGTATTGGTTTCTATTACCACTACCAATATTAATGTATAAATAAATATACAGGATTTTATCTTTCATACTTATAATCACATGTTGTGCTCTGTAATGACAAATACATTTTTTTTTTCGTTCAAAACCATATTTATCTTGAAACGAGGTCAAACTCAAATTATGATATTGTGCTCAGTGACGGATCTAGTTTTTTTAATAGACATACGTGTTTTTAAGTGGTTTTAGTGCATTATTCTATTTGATCGGATTTGATGATCGATTAGAGAATTAGAGATGTAGTATTATGTAAGCAAAGCTATTAACAAAGTTGAAATTATATAATTACAAAAAGGTAAAAACAAACAGAAAAGTTGGTAAAAATTAAAGCAAAGGTCATACACTTGAAAGCGATTTAAAGGGTCTATTGAATTGTGACATCAAAGTGAGACCAAAACCATAGCTTATTGGTTACCTTTTCAAAACAAAGAATCTCTTTACCCACCAACTCCAGATTTAAGGATCATGCATTCATGCTAATTGGTAAATAATTCCTTCTGTAACATTAAAATGATTATCTTTAGGAGAAAAAGTTTAACGTCACATAACTATAGATTTATCACTATCAAATTTTGGATTAAGAGACAAAAGGTCATTAGCACATTAACCTATATTTTGCTTTTTTTTTCCTAGAACAATTACATCTCTGTCTCTTCTATTGGACCCAACCATCATGACACTAGAAATGACCATTGAGAGACAAGAAGCTCACAGTCTTTCTCTTTCTCTATCTCTCTCAAATCTATAAGACATTTGACACCCCAAAACCAATAGACAAAGCTTTCTATGCTGTTCTGTTCTGTTCTCCAATGTTGTCATCAGCAAAGCATAATAAGATCAACAACCATAGTGCCTTCATCATCATCATCATCAACATCATCCTCCCTAGGCCATAACAATTCTCAAGTCACTATGGAAGAAGTATGGAAAGAAATCAACAATGGTTCACTTCACTACCATCGCCAACTAAACATTGGTCATGAACCAATGTTAAAGAACCAAAACCCTAATAACTCCACCTTTCAAGATTTCCTCAACATGCCTCTGAATCAACAACCACCTTCTACTTCCTCCATTGTCACTGCTCTCTATGGCTCTCTGCCTCTTCCTCCTCCTGCCACTGTCCTCAGCTTGAACTCCGGCGTTGGATTCGAGTTTCTTGATACCACAGAAACTCTTGCTGCTTCTAACCCTCACTCCTTTGAGGAATCTGCAAGAGTTGGTTGTCTTGGTAAGAAAAGAAGCCAAGATCCTGATGAAAGTAGAGGAGACAGAAGGTATAAGCGAATGATCAAGAACAGAGAATCTGCTGCTCGTTCAAGGGCTAGGAAACAGGAATGTGTCTCTCTTTACTCTTCTAATTTCCAATTCCTGTGAATCAAAAGAAACAGAATCTAGAATTCCTCTGTATTAATATGGTATATGAATCTTTCAGGCATACACAAACGAACTTGAGCTTGAAATTGCTCACTTGCAGACAGAGAATGCAAGACTCAAGATACAACAAGACCAGGTAAAACTAGCACTTTGTTCTTGTTTTAATGCCTTAGTTGAAGTCTTGTTCACTACTTGCAGTGACTTTATCTTACATTCTGATTTTTTTTTCTCTGTCTTAAGGACATTGTGAGTGTAAGATTCTGCTACTTGCCAATTTGTTTATCTTTCTGTTTTTGGAAAATACAGTTGAAAATGGCGGAAGCAACTCAAAACCAAGTAAAGAAAACACTGCAACGGTCTTCGACAGCTCCATTTTGAGAAAAATCTACAAGTCCTTTCTTTTTGGGGGAGTTTTAAGTGTTTCTTATGAAGATGAGAAAAACAGAAAAAGTTTGTACATTTTAGCTAAGAAGTTAGAGCATCTCCAATGGCATATCTTAGAGTATATCTTAACTAAATATCTTAGGATTAAACACAAAAAAATAATTCAAAACAGATTAATAAGCTAAGATATAAATCTTAGCTTAGATTTTTTCTTAAGGTTAAGATGTTGTTACGTGTCAGCATCTGAGTGGAGGAAAGAAAAAACAAAACCAAAAAAAAAATTATTGAGTTGTGTTTTTTTTTTTTTTTGCGTTTTTCATCTCTGTCGAGAGAGAGACTTTTGTCGACAAAAATGAGGGTGTGCGATCTCTTTGATTCCGGTGGTTCCGTCGAACTAGGATTACGGTAATGCAAAATCCGTCTATGATCCGTTGTTATCATCAGGGTTCTTAAAGTTGGGATTACGGTAATGCAAAATTAGGGTTCTTAGAATTGGGATTAGGGTAATGTAAAATTAGAATTCTATGATCCGTTTGATGTGTAGAACAGTAAGAATTGATGTGGTCAGATTGAGAATTGGTAATTGATCTGTTTGAGAAACTGGTAATTGATCTCTCAGACTTCTTCTTCTTCATCTCAAGTAAGCTTCTTTCTTTGATCTTCCTCATTTAGTTTCGTTTCTTATTGTAAGTTTCCTTTGATTTGTATAATATGTTCTCTCTCTGATGTTTGTGAGATCTATAAACCCAATTGTTCCAGTTTTATTGTAGAAAATTCAATTTGATTTGGTGAGAAAATCTAACCTAGTTATGGAACCGTTGGATTGAGTTTCACAATCTACAAACATTGTCATAGATGTTCCAGTCTTGCTTCAATTTCTATCCTTTGATAATTGTATTGCTAAAAGATGTCTTTTTTGTTTTATTAGTGGTTTGATTCGTATAGCTTATTTCTGCTTTGTTTGTAGGAGAAATGACTGAATCCAAGGTAGTGGTTCCAGATGTCTGTGATGTGAGTTTGCTTCTTCTCTGTTCAGAGTTTTGTTTCCATGATTGTTCTTTTGATTACCTAGTTTGTTATCATTGGATCTTGGTCGTAAAATGAGTACTAGTTTTAAAGTAAAGAGTAAATGTCGACTGTAATGGATATTAGAGCTAATTTTAATTGTTTACTTGAACTTTTGCAGGGATACTCAATATCTGCTTCAACACCATCAATGTCCAATGTTGGGCAAGTTTCTTCTTTCAACCAACACCTCTCTGTGTGTGTATAGATTCATGAAACATTGTCATAGATGTTCATGTTTTGCAAGTAATACAAAAATTTGAATTTTTTTTTCTTAAGAACCAATAAAAATTTGAATTTTTTTTTCTTAAGAACCAATAAAAATTTGAATTTTTTTTTCTTAAGAACCAATTGGTTCTTAACCATTAGAAGACTAATTTATTAAGATACTCTCATTTCATTCTTAACTTAGAAATAGCAAAATTTTAATATAAATAATTGTTAAGATCCAAGCTTAAGAACCAATTGGTTCTTAACCATTGGAGATGCTCTTAAATTTGTGGTGGTAAGTAATGTAAGGAGTGTAGAAGAAAAGTGTCTAGAAAAAGAAAGCAACTAACTTTCTTCTTCTTCTGTGGTTTCCTATCAAGTCTTTTGACTTTTGTACTTTTTTTTCTTTCTCTCTACTTAACCTCTATTATTGTAATGCCAAGTCAAGTCCTTGTCTAGTACATGAGTTTCTGTTTTCACTGCACTGTATTGTCAGATGAAGATAAGTCTTGATGATGATGCTAAGATGATTCTTTCTTGGTTGACTTCTTTTTGTGTATGCTTTATTAGCAACGAGAAACAGATACACAAAATAAACACCTTAGAGCAAATTTGGTGGCAACTTGGGCCATGAATTTGCTCACATTCTAATGGCTCTTTTGGTTTGCCAATCCAAGACTTTGAATCCTAGCAGTTTAAGAAAAATAGGGTTTTGTATAGTCCAGTGTTTCAGCTCCTTACAAGTTTGAGTAATTCTACCTGAATTTAACTCCAATATAAAGCTCAACAATGTTCTTTTTGTGGATTAAAGACAACTTTCAAGATTCTACAAGCAGAAAGCAGTATACAAGTCGGAATAATCCATCGGTATATCTGAAAAGTTAAAAACTGTTTTAAGTGTGAAACAGCTTGCTTACTTCATTCTGATCCAATAATATTTGTTCTTCTGATGCATCACCTTCTTCCTCAAGCATTTGGAACCAATCTTAAGGAATAACAAAAATCTAAAGGGATAACAACAATAGTTACAATATGATAGAGCTGAATATCCACATGTTATTCAGAATAAATTCCTTAAACTTTATTTAGCAGGAAGCACATGAAAAATGGAAAAGAATCAGCTATCTTGAATTCTTGATCATCAATTTTAAGAAAATAAAATCATCAAACACCAATAGTTCTGAACAAAACATTAAATTTGCAAAACTTTCCAGTTTCATATTATATAACTTATAAATTCAACCATAAATGATTTTTTCTTCAAAAGGTCTACTGTTTACATTGAGTTGTTACCTACATAATCACATATTGCATGTAGTATAGAGTAAGGAACGTTCTAAAATCTCTATGGAGTATTTTTCCAAAACTAATTTACGTTAAATCGCGATGTCAACAATGAAATTAGAAGATTCATTTCATCATAAAAACTCAATTCTGTTTCGTGTTGGACAAGCATCATTCTTCCATGAACTGAGGTGTTGGTGGACTCATTTCCTTATTACTCATCTCTGTACCTGATTCAAATAATAGATTCAAGAATTCGAAATCGATGTAAAGAAATGTTAATCCATCAGTAAATGTATAAATATTTTACCGTAAGAAACTCCACGAATCTCGACTTCTCTCAGTTCTTGGACAAGGGCACAACAACAACACATTAGATGTGACAAAAAGTCGTCAATGCACCCTCCCTGAAAAATCAAGACATCCATATCACGACCTTAAAAAAGTATCGATGGTGCGAGTCAAAGGTTTAACCGATGTACCGTTATGTTCAGAGTCTTTCGAAGCTTCTTCCTTATGCAGCAAGTATAGCAACAGCATGAGAGTATCAAAGAATACACCATTAGGTTCTTACACGCTTCAGTTGAAGCTGGAAAGCCATAAATCAAAATTTTGTATCAAATTCTTGATATTGAAGATCACAAAATAGTCTTCATTCATAAAATATTTCTTACAGATTTGCCTGTCAGTTGCCATAGTAGAAATCTTTGCCAATGTACCACACGGGAAAAAGAATGTCTTGAAGCCTTATTTTACAAATTCAAACGTAGATAAGTATGAATCTTGAACTGTCACTCGTCTATCTTACGAGAAAAAAAGGCGTGGAACATTGTTTGGTAATCAGATAGAAAAAAACAAAGGAGAGGGCTTACAAAGACAAGGTTCTGAACAACAATCCAGCAAGTCGGCGTGCCAATTTTCATGGTGTTGCGATGATCTTCCCGAAAGTAGTTCATGTCCGGATGAAACATAAGACGTTGATCTACATTCAACCATTAGAGACCAACTAAACATTAGCCTTCAATCATCAAACGTGAACAACACATTAAGTAAATGAATATTTTCTTCGATATCGGAGTGAATGGGGATCATTAACCTTGAAGTTGTTCGAATATCGCTATCCGTGTCATACAAATCATCTTTCTTCTTGCTAGAGGTAAGCTCTTCTTTCTTAGTCAAAACCTTTTCAAGATCAGGTTCAACAGAAGAAGCAGCAGTTTGTGTAACATCAATCAAACGTTGTATAACTTCACATTGATCTGCATCATACCGCGCCCGCGAACGATGTAACTCAAGTTGCAGTTTCTCCTCCTCTGTTTTAAGCGCTTGGCAGAACCCCATGTTCGGGTAGGAACGAGAAAGCGTTTTCTTTAAAACCGATGTAGCTGCTTCTCTAGTGGATTCTTGTTTCAAAATAACATCTTGCACCTTTTTATCCTCTTCATCAAGAGTGTACTCACGCTGATCACGTTCAATAGCTTCTAACCTCTCCTGCATAACAAATGATATTAACAAAGGCAACAACAACAAGGAGTAAGAAACTAGTAAACAATGCAAGCCAAATTACCCGAATGCGAGCATTATCCGCCATATTTATGAGTGGAACGATCTTGAGAAACAGATCAATCTCGGTCTGAGCTTTTTCAAACTGGTTAACAATGTTCCATCCCATAGCCAACAAGTAAAGATAACTCTTTTCTTGACAACTTTTGACTAAAATGTAAGATCTTCTAAGAGCATCATCAAGTCCTTGAAGCGGCTCAAGAATCTCTGAACGTTGATTCATCTCAGAGTTTTTTATCTGCTCTAGCAAATTACGGATGAGCTTAAGATGGTGAGCGAATTGACGACAATTCTTCTTGTGCATTCGAGCTGTATTCGCAGCGTTTACTATCATTCCAATCAGTTTCAGGGCGTCTATGCCTGTAAGCTGAGCTACTGACGCAATTTCTCCTAACTGATCCCATGAATTAGCCATTTCTCTTCCTACTAGGACCAAAACAGCTCAAAAACTTTAACAAAGGTAAATATTGAGACCTAAAAAAGCAGAACTCAAGAAAGTTTGAGACTTTACCTCTCTGTCAGCAGATTCTGATTACAAATCAATATCAGAAAGCAACAAAGTTTGAGACTTTACCAAGTAATCACATTATGGTTCGACTGTGACAACAAAGAAGACAAAGTTTAGGAAATTCTCTACTACGTTAAAGATCTTTAAAACAGAGAACATTTTCAAGAATTAAAAAAAAAAAAAGCCACAAAAATGAAAATTTCTTTGTTTTAAGTATAAACTCATCGGAGAAAAAACGTTTCTTGGCGTGTGAAATCAAAGGGAACAAACACGGAAATCAGAGAAATTTAGAAATTTTTTTAAGAGAGGAAACAGTGTTGAAATGCTTGACCTCATACGTGATACGTCGAAGAAGTCAAGAATTTACAGAGATGGTTCTCTTGTGGAAGTTATTTGTCTTGGGATGAGAGGTCAAAGAGATTATCCAGAAAAAGAAGAAGAAAATAAGAAGATAGTGGACTAATAATGCTCAATGAGAACACGAGTCACGAGTGTTTCGGTGATGGTTTGATCGTATTATCGAATATGGATTGTTCTTTTTTCAGTGCACGAGTTGCAAATTACGAATTAGCCATGTGTCACTCTCCATAATTACAAATCTACCACGTATTACTGTTTATTACACACTGTATAATAATCGTTGGCTTCGATTTTTGGACTCTTGATCAAAGGCTAATAATGAATCATTGAAACCAAAACTTTGTTAGTTTTCCCTTGAACCAAATTTTTTTTGTTAGTTTCCATTTTATTATTAAGCTAAATATCTCGATTTTCATATTTTTGTACAATCATATCGATCGTCGATCTTACTAGATGTCTATTCTCCTCATAGTTTCATCGACCATTTTCTAGATGTTTTTTCAAGAGCACAAAGGTTTTCTCCATCGACCATTTTCTACTTGGTTTGAGGTGTTCCAAGTTTAGAATTGTTTGTTAGATTGGTAAGTAGGTAGTAGGTAAGCTTTGCAATTTCCTTTTGTTGCTGTTTTAGCTGGGTTCAGCTTGTAATCTTTTTTAATTAATGAAAAATTAAAAGTTGAAAAAAAAAAAAAAAAAGTTTATACAAATTGTTCTAATTTCAATTAAAAAATTTATGGGCCTGCTTTTGGGTCTTATTGTCCATGTAAAGCCTGTATCGTCAAGTAGAAGAAAACTACAACATTACGACACCGTTTACTACTATTCTTGTTCGTTATTAAGCCATAACCTTTTTCTATAAATAACGAAGCAACGAGGTAAACGAGAAAAATTCTGGATCAGAGAGAGCTTCGAAGCCTGGGAATTTTCGTTACCCCCTCCCTTCGTTCTTCTCTGATCTTGAATTCCATACCAAATTCTTGCATCTCCCGATTTTGATTTTATCATCACTACTATGTCGGGATAACAAAAGCCCCCAAAGTAAAACCCAATTGCGAAACCAATCTAGGGTTTCGCGAGTTCGTCTCTGAGTTTGTTTGTGATCGTGTGAGTATGTCTCGGTGTTATCCGTTTCCACCACCTGGTTATGTTCGGAAAGAAAGTCTGATCGAATCGATCAAGGTTGGTTTGTTGAGCAATCTAAAAAGTCCATGGCTTTGGTTCTGTTTTTATGTTCTGGGTTCATGTGATTTTTTTTTAATGCTCAGCTTCCTCGTTCTTTGATTGTGAGAATCTTATGTCAAAGTTGAAAACTTGATCACCATGGTACAAAGATTAAGTGTAATTTGCAATGTATATGTGATTTCAAATCTTACTTAAAACAACAACTCAACTAATGTATATGTCAAAAGCATGAAATTAAACATCTATAGCCAATGTCAAAACGGGTACTTTTGGTGTTTTTGTCACCTAAGTCGCTGCTAGTTATGCATTCTTTGCCCCTTGGGAGTTTTACTGGGATAAGCAAATTATGGACATTTAATTGTTGTTCCTTCCATTGGTTTGGAAATCCAGGGGACAAAGGAGGAAGTTAAGAAAGATAGAAAACACAAGAGGAAGGAAAAAGAGAGAAAGGAGAGGGAAAATGAGGCGGGTCGAAGTAGGAAGCATCGGCATAAGAGACGGCGCAAAGATGAAGGCGCCAATGCTAGTGGTAGTGGCAAATTAATAAACAGCGAGGTCGAGTTTTTAGAGAAGAGCTGCCAGACAGTGGAGCTTGAGCTGCAAACATCGTCTCAGACTTCTTGTGATAGCACTCTTCATAGCAATGAGAGACCAAAGCAAATTCAGAGTCAGTCCCTTGATGGTAGGCATAACGACTCTGGTGAGCTTGTTTGTGTTTACTTCTTGTTGGGTCTGTTTGCTTATGGTGTCATTCTTTCTTGGTTTCAAGAAACCGGCATACGGATCCGCTTACCTGACAAAGGGCAGGAAGATCCTGAGGATGAGGTGATGATGACCACCAAGGATCAAAGATCCCGGGAAATGTTGGATGCTTCTCTGGCTGCTGCCCCTAAAGAGTCTGTTGGTCATCTTTATTCGACTCCACGAGATGCTTTTAGGGTCTGTCAAGAGAAAGTAAGAGATCCAGCCAGAGAAAAAATAACAAAACTCGGCAAAGAGAAGAAACCAATTCATCCGAAAGATAACAGAAAAATCAGTAAAGAGAAGAAGATTCCATCATCATCTTCATGTACTCCTCTGGAACAAGAGAAACCATCCTCTAGTCATCAAGAAACCATTGGATCTTCAAAGCTATTATGCAGGAAATGCCCTCCTTCTATGGCCGGGCAACTCTTGAATCTTATCGAGGACTGGGCTCCTGATCGGGCTGAGAGCAAGCTCACAGACTCTGAAGATCAAGAATGGTGGTTGTTCATCAAGTTTGGAGCCAAAAGGCAACAAGTTAGCAATCAGAAAACCAACCAGGGAAGTAGTTTGATGGTGTGGCCAACTGCTAGATTTCTTCCGGAAGCCGAAGTACACGCATTGCCATTCACTGTCCCATTCTGATTTCAACAAAGTTGGTCGAGAGAGAGTGGTTAACATGACCAACATATGGTTTTCCTATGTATTTTAGATAGCCCTTAAAACTTAAAACTCAGAATATAAATGTGTGATTCTTTGTAGATGTACTGGTAATATAGTAAATCATTAATTACACGAGAATGGTAAATATATGTGCTGGTTAGATAGTAAAATTACACGAGAGTTTAGAACAACTCCTTATAATATCAATAGTAAAATCTGGTTTAAGGTCTTTGTCAAACCAAAAAAACATTTGATTTTAGGCGGTGTAGACAACATCTATTTAACTTTATATCAAGCAACTAGATTTTAACTGATTTAATTTTAAAGTTAGTATAAAAATATTTTGTAAATTGTATCTCCTTATAACATATTTATTTATATTATAGTTTATAATTGTTATTAAGTAACGGTATACCACGAGTCCACGAGACAATTATTAATAAACGGAGGATTTAACCTGTATTAAAGCGGTATATAAATATTGATTCAAATTCGTCCGTCATATTATTCTTTTCCGAAATATAACCTCTTCCGTAATTTCTTAACCCGTCCCGTGATTTGTTTTTATTTTAAAATTTAATGATTATTTATTATATATAAAAGTTTACAAATCATATCATCCTCTAAGACCACGGGACATTATACTTCGGGACAATTTTTGGTTTTATACAATTTTTTTCTAAATGAGACTCAATTAATATGTCTAATATTTGTGGTATTAAAAAAAAGGATTTAATCCGTATTGAAGCAGCGGATTAATGATATTTTAATCTTTTTATTATTGTTGATTCAAAAACCCATCCCGCCAAACCCGTCCAGCAAAAAAAAACTCATTTATTTTATTAATGTTCTTATAAAACCCGGAGGATGTAGAACGTTGAACACACATTTTCGTCAATTGAATAATATATGTCCGTTTTTAAAATTTCGAATCACAGTATATGCAGAAAAAAAACAAATTTCGAACACACATTTTTTTACTTTATGTATTATATGATGATTCAAAACAGTTAAAAACAAATCAAACAAAGATGATAGGAGAATCATAATTATGAATCTTAATCAAATCTTCTAAATATCTAAATTATTAAATATGAAATATCCGGTGTATGAGTTGGGTTAAATATAACCCGACCCAACAAATTTTTTGTGAAGGAATTTAAAAAACGGATCGGGTATCCGATATACCCGGAATCATTTTTACCCACCCGTCACCAAAGTGTTGCAAAAATACTAGTATAGATAGATAAACATTTATAATTAGGGGTTATTGCAAAAATGTCACTTTTTCAATGCCACTTTTAAAAACCTTATAAAAAATGCTCTTAAAAATATAAGATTTACCCAAATATGTATGTAATATTATTAAAAGATACACAAACTACATTTCTATGTATCTAAAATCTTATAAATACTTTATAAATACCTTATAAATGCATTTTAAATACCTTTAAAAACCTTTAAAATATCTTGTAAAACCTTTGAAAAACCTTTAAAATCCTTTAAAATAACTTGTAAAACCTTTAAAAACACCTTATAAAACCTTATAAATACTTGGATCGAGTCTTCAAGTAGTAGTTACAATCCATAAGTACCTTATAAACCTAATAAAACTTTATAAAAATTTCAGATTTAAAAAGGGGCATTTTTGAAAATGGACATCTAAAAGGGACATTTTTGAAAAGGGGCACACCAAAAAGGGTATTTTTAACAATTTCCCTTATAATTATGTATATAGAGATAAAACATATTAGAAATTAGAAAATACACTAAAACGAAGTTGGTATGATTTTAGGCGGTCGAGGTGGTTGTATAAGTGTCGCTTAAATGTTTAACGTCTAGTCGGAACTTAAACGACCGCCTATATCACTTTTTAGAACACTAATAAATTGATATCGTCATTTTAAAATACATATATCTAAAAGGGGAAAAACACATTTTTAACCTTCAAAATATCATTGGGTATCACTTTAAACCTTGAATGAATTCCACTAATACTATAAACCACCAAAATAATTTTACTAACACTTTAAACCTCCAAACTAGCTTTCATGTTTGCACCGCCATAAAATATGATGGAACAATTAATTTACGTTGGTTTAATATAAATTTGTTTAATTTAATTTAAGTTTTAATTAATTTTATTCTTTATTATGATTTTACGATTAGTAAGAAAAGTAAAAAAAAAAAAAAAAGTAGATTCCTCCGATACGAAGAATGTTTCTTTTTCTGACTAAATTTTGAAATTCTTTGATTTTTATTATTCTATTTAAGTTTCTTTTGTACCTCATATTCTTCATTATTTGGTTTATATTATTATACTATAAACTTTTCTTGTGCTTAAATCTATAGTTTCAGAAGTTTAGTTTCGAAATTTCATAGTTGAAAGGTGAGTAATGAAGAAGGTGAAGTTTTTTTTTTTTTTTTTTTAGATTTTTATTAATTGTACTTAATAATAAAATTAATTTAAATTTGAATTAAATTAAATAAATGTATACTAAACAAATAGAAATTAAAATTTCCATCATTTTTTATGGTGGGACAAACAGAATAATTAGTTCAGAGGCTTAAACTGTTACTAAAATTATTTTGATAATTTATAGTGTTAGTGAAATTTTTTCGAGGTTTAAAGTGTCATTGGCTTACCTTTTCGGGTAAAAGTATGAAATTGGAATAAATTTAGTTTCTGTGGTTCGGTTTAGTATTACACTAGAATCGATTTCGGTTAAAATTTTGGATTTTATTCGGTTTGGTAAAATAGACTATGGACCGTTAGATCTAAAGTTAAGTAGAAACATCGAACGGTAGATAGCGAGGAAAGCGTACACGTGTGAAGCATGACATAATTTTCCCCTCTAAAGACTTTTTCACAAGGTCGTTTTTTTTGACAAACGAAAGAACCTGAAAAGTGAGAAACCCAGAGATCGAGATTGAGATTTAGAGAAGAAGAAGATGATCGCAGACGGAGCAGAAGATGAAGAGAAATGGCTCGCCGCCGGTGCTGCTGCTTTCAAGCAAAACGCATTCTACATGCAACGCGCTATTGTAAATTCTGCTCTTCCCCTTTACTTCTTCTGTTCCTTTCTCCGTGACTATTTTCATTGAAATTGAGAAATTTCCAAATTTGTTTGGCACTTTTCATAGATGTGTAGAATTGAATGGAAACCCTAATTTTGATCTTGGGAAAAAAACTTGTGGTGGTTAATTAGGACTCGAATAATCTGAAAGATGCTCTCAAGTATTCGGCTCAGATGCTTAGCGAGTTACGGACTTCGAAGCTATCACCTCCCAAGTACTATGATCTCTGTGAGTTGTTTCCGTCTTCTGATCTCCCATGATCATATATGTTTCGCCTAATTTGACTTATAGGTTTTTTTTTGTGATCTGATTTGATGGTTTTTAGATATGCGAGCTTTTGATGAATTGAGGAAACTTGAGATTTTCTTTATGGAAGAAACTCGGCGTGGCTGCTCGGTCATTGAACTCTATGAGCTGGTTCAGCATGCTGGTAACATATTACCACGTTTGTAAGTTACTCATACAATTCCCTCTCTCTTGTCTGTTCCTATGAAATTCATATAATCTTAAAGATGGTTTATTTGATCATTACTTATGTTGCTAGCATTTCTTCAGATATTTTTAGTTTGTTCACTTTTCTAGCTAAAAGTACTATCTGTTCATTTTCTTTTTCCCTTCCCTAGGTATCTCCTATGTACAGCAGGATCCGTTTATATCAAAACCAAGGAAGCTCCTTCCAAGGAAATTCTTAAAGATCTTGTTGAGATGTGTCGTGGGATTCAGCATCCTCTACGTGGTCTCTTCTTGAGAAGTTACCTTGCGCAGATTAGTCGAGATAAATTACCTGACATTGGTTCTGAGTATGAAGGGTAAGCACGTAGACACTATTATTCGGTTTCTTCATAGCAGCTGGGACTTGCATGGGGTTCTTGCTTGTGCTTAAATTATCTTCTTAGACAAAATCCCTAGTTTCTTATGACGTCATTTAGGATGTTGGCTATTAATTAAAATCATTTTGATTCATCTGGTTGGTGACTCGTTTTCGAATCTCTACAGAGATGCTGATACAGTCACAGATGCTGTGGAGTTTGTACTACTGAACTTTACTGAGATGAATAAACTCTGGGTCAGAATGCAACATCAGGTGAGTTATGATTCAAGATTGTTATACACCCTTCTACTCATTTTAGAAACGAGCTTGCCAGAATGTTTGCACTTCATGGAGATATAATTGGACTATGAGAGCATGATTCTGATCATGCAGGTGTTGTATTGCTTGTGAATCATTACCCTTTGATGATCCTGAGCTGAGGCTTGCTATCGGGCTTTCTGGTCTGCAGGGACCTGCTCGAGAAAAGGAGAGACGGGAGAAAGAGAGGGGCGAGCTTCGTGACCTTGTAATATGACTTTCTTACAGCTGGTAACAGTGTACTGAAGTGCCTACCATTTGTTTTGTACTGACGGAAGCGTACGTTTTCCCTCACGTATTAGGTTGGAAAGAACCTTCACGTGCTGAGTCAGTTAGAAGGTGTGGACCTTGATATGTACAGAGATACAGTTCTTCCTAGAGTCTTAGAGCAGGTAAAATATTATATCCTATAAACACACTTACACATGCAAACTTAACTTATTCCCTTACCAAAAACTAATGTTTGTCTTATGATTTCTCAGATAGTGAACTGCAGAGATGAGATTGCCCAATATTACCTAATAGACTGTATCATTCAAGTTTTTCCTGACGAGTATCACTTGCAGACTCTAGATGTACTTCTTGGGGCGTGTCCACAACTTCAGGTAGTCTGAGTAGCTCTCTCATAGTTAGCAGTATGCTCTGCTCCCAATCATTTAATTTTGGCTGCAACTGCACTTTCAGGTTTTTTTATGTCAGTGGTTCACTAACCTCCTGTTTCTCTCACTTTCTCTCTGATTTTCTTCTCAGCCATCAGTTGACATCATGACAGTGCTTTCCCGTTTAATGGAGAGGCTGTCAAATTATGCTGCCTTAAATGCTGAAGTATTACCTTACTTCCTGCAAGTGGAAGCTTTCTCAAAGTTGAATAATGCAATTGGAAAGGTAGCCTTTACGTGTATGTAGGCTGTGAGTCCAGTTGCACTTTTGTTTCTGTAAAAGAGTATGAAAGTAATGACAGCTTAGAAATCCTGTTGACTGGACTTGTTAGCATCACGAAAGACATGGAGAAGGCACAACTGTTTTTTTTTGCTTGACATTTCTTTTTTAAGTGAAACTCTTCACTTTAGACGATTCCATCAACATGTAGAAAGATGCATTGTTCTTTATGTGTTGGATGTATCCGCTGCAAAACGTGACCCTTCTTAACACAGTTTTGCATATTTGTTTACTTCTTAAATTATGTGGTTTTGACGCCTTTTTTCTTCGATGAAAAAAATTTCTTAGTGGAAATACTATGATGTTGCAGGTGATAGAAGCGCAAGAAGACATGCCTATTCTGAGTGCAGTAACCCTATATTCCTCCCTTCTCAAGTTTACTCTTCATGTTCACCCTGATCGGCTTGATTATGCGGACCAAGTGTTGGTCAGTTTTCTTATAGCGACTGTATTTACCTATTGTTCTCTTCTTAAGTCAAGTTTAAATACTTTGTGTTCTGTCAATGTTGCTTAGTGGCTCTATTGATCTCATTATTTAGATTATCTTGTCATTCTATTCACATTGCTGAGACATTGCTAAATTCATGATACCTGTGTCAAAAGATGCCAATCTTTTTATGTATAGAAAAAAAACTGATTTAAGGTTCATCTTTGTTTATTATTCTTGTAGTGGATGTTGGTTCAGCAATTTATGTATTATTCTGTTATATGTATGTGCTTTTTATACAAGTTTATGGTTCGCTACATTTGCAGAAAAGTTCCTACTTTGTATCTTATACGAATGTTTACTGGTATAAGGTACATTGGATGAAAGAGTTTGAATTTAATGTTCTTCACTTTCTCTTCCCAGGGATCATGTGTTAAGCAACTGTCCGGAAAAGGAAAGATTGATGACACTCGTGCAACAAAGGAGCTTGTTTCGCTTTTAAGTGCTCCCTTAGAGAAGTATAATGATGTTGTCACCGCCCTTAAATTAACTAACTATCCCCTTGTAGTGGAGTACCTTGATACCGAAACAAAGAGAATAATGGCTACTGTTATAATTCGAAGCATTATGAAAAACAATACTCTTATTACTACAGCGGAGAAGGTAGGAATTTTTTATGCCCTTACCCTTTGGGTTGAACTATTTGTGTGGTAAAATTGAATTTTCTGTCTTGTTTTACTTTGGTAGGTTGAAGCATTGTTTGAACTGATTAAAGGACTTATCAACGATTTGGATGAGCCGCAAGGTCTTGAGGTTGTTATAAGCATTTTGTTATACTTTCTATCTTGTACTTCGAGACATATCCTCTCAATTACTTGTGAATACAGATATATGAGCCAGAACCCCAAAAGAAAGTTGAATTTTGACTTCTGTACATATCTTTCTACGCTCTTAGGTTGATGAAGATGATTTTGAGGAGGAGCAGAATTCTGTTGCGCGTCTCATTCACATGTTATATAATGATGACCCAGAAGAGATGTTTAAGGTGCATGAAGCTTTTGCACATTCAGATTCATTCATGTGTGTCATATCTTTATGTTGACATTAGGCTTCTAGTTATTGGCTTACATTTAGATTTTAATGTTTTATGGCATTTATTCCCAATTGCCTTTATTCTTTGTTTGTAATTTCCAACTCAGTCATAGATTTTACTTATCACCAGGAGTCATCATTTCTTTCAACATTCTATTAAGGTTTTGGCTTTCAGTGTTTGAAGCTGTTTAATTAAATTTCAGATAGTCAGTATCCTGAAGAAGCATTTCCTGACAGGAGGGCCAAAGCGCTTAAAGTTCACCATTCCTCCCCTTGTTGTTTCTACTCTAAAGGTTTGATTTCTTAAGCGAAGTTATTCAAAGTACATAGAGTTCAGTGTTTTGATGCCATTCTTTAAAGCCCCTCATAATTTATGTTGAGTTTGATTTGCGATGACATGGTTTGGTTGTTTCTATTTATCTGCCATACCGCATAGAAGAGTATCTGTTATAGTTTGTTAAATTTTTCTTATTCAAATTTTGTAATTTTTGTTATCTGTTTTGTTTAAATTGTAGCTAATCAGGCGATTGCCAGTGGAAGGAGACAATCCTTTTGGAAAAGAGGCTTCCGTTACTGCTACTAAAATATTCCAATTTCTAAATCAGGTAAGTTTCATAACTTTTCACTGCCTATAGTGTTCAAATCTGTTTTTCTAGGTAGAACAATGTGTCTCAGAGCTACATTACTCTATTTAAACTTGGCCAAAGTTAGTTCATACTAGCTGATTGACAACATTGAAAATTCGCAATCGACAGTTTGTAGATATTAGCAAAGGAGACTGCTGTTATTGCTCCGTCTCCGCTACAGTTATCATTTCTTGTCTTTATCTGTTGGATTTTTTTGCTTGTTGCAGATTATCGAAGCGCTACCTAATGTTCCATCACCTGACCTGGCATTCCGGTTGTACTTGCAATGTGCTGAGGTAAAACTAATTACCTGTTTATTTAGTATGCACTTACTCGGTAAAATGCTCACAGAATTTTCCTATTTCATCAGGCTGCGAATAAGTGTGATGAAGAACCAATTGCATACGAATTTTTCACCCAGGCATACATCTTATACGAAGAAGAAATTTCGGTTAGTTATGTTTTCGTGGACGTTCATATGTCTCGTGTCTAAACCAAAGTAACTAGGTGAGTTTAACTCTCTCTCATGTGTCAAAAACTTGCCTTTTGAACAGGACTCAAAGGCCCAAGTGACCGCGTTACAACTTATAATTGGAACTCTGCAAAGGATGCACGTATTTGGTGTTGAGAATAGAGATACATTAACGCACAAGGCTACAGGGGTATTTTATCTTGATATGTTAATTAGTCTCTTGCCATATTCAATTGTCTCTGCTTAAAGGCTGATAAGGGAAAACTTATCCCCTTGCAGTATTCAGCGAAACTTCTAAAGAAACCTGATCAATGTCGAGCTGTTTATGCCTGTTCACATTTGTTCTGGCTGGAAGATCGTGAGACCATACAAGATGGAGAAAGGTAATACTTTATTCTGTGCGATAGAACACAGTTCGTTTAAAATAGCTCATCAGGTAAATTACTTGAAATCAGGGTTCTACTTTGTCTGAAACGAGCGCTTAAAATTGCAAATTCGGCTCAACAAATGGCCAACAAAGCACGGGGTAGTACAGGATCTGTTACCCTCTTCATCGAGATACTAAACAAGTAAGCGCTTTACATCTCATTTTCTAAACCCTTGTGAGCAGCAAGCAGCATCACATAATGTGAATTGTCTGTGGCAGGTACCTTTATTTCTATCAGAAAGGGGTTCCACAGATAACAGTTGAATCAGTGGAAAGCCTGATAAAACTAATCAAGAACGAAGAATCGATGGCATCTGATCCATCTGCTGAATCGTTCTTTGCAAGTACGCTTCAGTTCATGGAGTTCGAAAAGCAGAAAGAGGGTGCCATTGGTGAGAGATACCAGGAGATCAAAGTATAGAATCTCATGTTGGTCAAAGAAGTCGCAGTTTGTTATAAAAAAAAAAAAAAGAGCTTTGCTTTGAGTCAGTTTGAGAATCAGGAAGGGACTTGTGTTGATTGCTGCTGGAAATGTAAAAACCCTGATTTTTTTTTTTTTTTGGACAAAGATTTGTTTTCATTCCATTAGAGTAGAAGCCAAATACAGAGATAGAAGGGATCTGAGATCCCAAAGTTTAAAGCACAATAATAAGGGGCATACCCCAAAGTTACCATAAGAAAGATAAAAGGATAGATAAGGTTAATCGACAAAGGATCCTTGAGAGCTTTGAGCCAAAAGCTAAAAAGCTTTTTGGTACATGTGAGGTCAAAGTTTATCGACAATTCTTCCAAGAACAAGTCAATGGATGAACAAATTGCCACTGTCAAGAGACGAGATGGCGTTGGTGAAGGGGCCAAAGACTTGAATCTCGCCGGCACGAGAAGAACTACACAAAGTAGTGCTTTGACAAAGGTTCGAGCATAGGTGATGGTGCTCTGGTGGTTGACGTTGCTTGCTAGAATTGTTGTGGAGTTAGAATTGAGCTTAGACAAAACATAGCAAAACGAGGTGGTATTGAAAACGTATAACTTGAAGACGTCAGAAGAGCTTGATGACGAGTGGTCATTGGAAAAGCTTCCAAAACCACCATCAAAGATCCTGCAGGGAGGGTTTAAGAGCATTAGACCACGGTCCTTCAAGCAAAGAAACTCATACCTCAAGATACCAGAGGAAGCTAAAACCAGGGTTCGCAAAATATGAGTGTAAAGCCGTAACAGAACAGGTGGATCCTCTCTCACATGGGCTATTCCATGGAGATTAAGAATTCCACACAAAGCTTGTAGTCGGCTTAACACATAAAGAAAGTAACCAGACCTGAGCTTCAAAGCATTGAGCGTATGGAAGTAATCCCTAAAGTTGATAATTTGTACATGAATGAGCTCGGTAAACAGGGGATACGGAGATAAAGGGTTGAGAAAGATGCGGTAACCACCGCTTCTTGGAGACAGGATCATAATGCCTGTAAAACCCCTGATTTAGGTCTGGTTTTTATACCTCGGATATTCAAGGCGGTTCATGGTTTGTAACTTGTGGAGTTTGCTATGTTTGTTTATATGAATCTTTATTGGTCACACTAGTACCTGAGTTTAACATTGGATATTAGATGAGGTTTTCATAAAAAGTTTCCGTTTTATGTATTCTGTTGAAATAGATCTTTCAATATATGCAACTTATGCACGAAAACATTTTCAATATCTATCTAATGAAACTTACAACATTGTGTTTGAAGAAAGGCATGATATGTGAATGTTGTTGTGGAGAATGTGACATTCAAAATTAATTTACTGTATATATAGAATACTTAATATATCTTTTTTTTGTCAATAATGCTTAATATTTTTTTTATTAAAAAAATTTCAGTTTACTTTTTTTTTTTTTTTTGCTGAAAAAATAGACAAGTGAAAAAAGAAACTGAAATAATAGAAATAAAGTGATCCAGCTTATATATAAAAAAAATGAATTATAAATTAATTTTAAAAAAAAAAGCAAATTGTACGTTAAAACTTAAAATTTTGAAAGAAAAAAAAAACAGAAAAGAAACGAGAAAAAGAAAAAGAAAAAAAAGGCAAAACAATCGGAGAAAGTTGATGGAGGAGATTGTTCGTATTGTGAACGCTTCAATGGCATAAATTTCCGGCCATCACATTTCTTCTACTTCCTCTCTCATTCTCTTTCTCTCGAATACGACGATTCATCGTTGTTCACCTTCATTCTTCTTCTCCTTCTTCTTTTCATCTCTCACATTTCCGATTCCAATTAGGGTTTCCTCTTTTAACATCTCTAGGGTTTTTCTTCTTTGTTCTGTACCGGAGTTGGTGAATTGAAAGGAGCAAAAACGCTATTGAGAGCTTATTTTTAGGTTGTTTCCTCAGGTTTTTGTAGATCTGAGGTTGCTATTTTTTGTTCAATTTTGTTCTTGTGTGATCGATCGTACGTACGTAGCTCCATTTCTGGTGGAGAAGAAGAGAAATGAGCGCTTCGAGGTTCATAAAGTGTGTCACCGTTGGCGACGGAGCTGTTGGTAAAACCTGTTTGCTGATTTCTTACACCAGCAACACTTTTCCTACGGTATATATAATGTTCCCTTCCTTTGATTGAATCATCATGTATCTGCTTTTTGATTTGTTATTGTTTTGTTATATGCTACATGGATCGATCCATTGTCGAGCTTTGTATATCTGATTGAATCTTGTGAATTTCTTCTTTGGAATAGGATTATGTACCGACTGTTTTCGATAACTTTAGCGCAAATGTGGTTGTTAATGGAGCCACGGTGAATCTAGGATTGTGGGATACCGCAGGTACTGGCAAATATTGAGGATCTTGCTTAGTAGTAGTGGCAGCTATGGCTTTGGGGTCTGAAGCTTTTGTTTTTCAGGGCAGGAGGATTATAACAGATTAAGACCTTTGAGTTACCGCGGTGCTGACGTTTTCATCTTAGCATTCTCTCTTATCAGTAAGGCTAGTTATGAGAATGTCTCCAAGAAGGTGCGTTTTTTGAAATGAAGTTTGCTACATGTTTTGAATTGATAACTGAAGAAAGTCTTTTGGTTGTGATTCTTGCTGCTTTGTTTTCTGTTTGCAGTGGATCCCAGAGCTGAAGCACTATGCCCCTGGTGTCCCAATAGTTCTTGTTGGAACCAAACTAGGTAAGCTCCTTTTTTGGCATATATGTCTGCTAATTTCTTTTGTGTCGTATTCGAGACAAAACGCACTCCTGTTTTTTGGTTTTCCCCATTGCTTCAGGTTCTCTAGAGAGTTGTGAAACTTTTCTACAATACATTTACTGCTTCTGTTTTGATTTGTTCACGTCGACGAGATACAGTATTTAAGCTTTTGCTTCACCAGATTTGTGTTTATAATACATTCGTTGGTTCTGTTTTGATTTGTTCACGTCCAAGATATATACATGTAGTAGCTTTTAGCTCGTTTGATCTAGTGGAAACTAGGCCTGATTTTTGGTATCACAAATCCTGCAATAATCTAGGTTTACAAGCTTGTCTGTGATGTTTCTTCTTTCTGTTCTATTAAATATTGGGATACGTTATGAAACAATTGGTATATCTTATTTCACATTTTCTCTTGATAGTTAAGTTGTAAGAGACAACCACATGCAATTAGGGCTGGTTTTCCCAATAATCTAGGTTTACAAGCTTCTTCTGTCAAAATTGGTGTAGCGGTTTCTGCTTCAATTTCGCCCTGCTGCCTGATCCATCTAGACCTAATATTTTTGTGACTTTTCTGTTGCTTATTTTTTGTGTTCATCATAATAAATGCCAGATCTTCGGGATGACAAACAGTTCTTCATTGACCACCCTGGCGCGGTACCTATTACCACTGCTCAGGTATTCATAATTTCTTTGAAATGGGTCAATTTACTCAGCTTGGTACTTAAAACGAAACCCTCTTAACCATTCCCCACTTTGGGCATCAAAGGGAGAGGAGCTGAAGAAGCTAATTGGAGCTCCTGCATACATCGAGTGCAGTTCAAAAACACAGGAGGCAAGAAACAAAAACTTCCCTTTTGTTTCGAGTATTATTACATGACTTTGCTTCTTTACCTGAGCTTTTCTCACAGCTTGTGTGTTTTTTATATGAAAGTGCAGAACGTGAAAGGTGTATTTGATGCAGCGATCCGAGTGGTTCTTCAACCTCCAAAGCAGAAGAAAAAGAAAAGCAAAGCACAAAAAGCCTGCTCCATTTTGTAATTTCTCTACGTTTTCCTAATCTCTCTCTGTCTCATCCACTCTTCTTCTAGTGAAGGCTTAAGAAGAAAACGATTACTTAAAAATTGTTCCAGAGTTCGTTGTGATAATCTCTCTTAATCCTAAAAAAACGATTACTTCTGTTTTACTGATGAATAGTTTCCAGCTTTAGCTGAGACCTAATATTGCACTTACTACTTCTCTATTCTTCCTTCCAGTTCAATGACTAGTTGATGAAGTAGAGATTATGGATTTTTCACTTCAGCTTTAGCTGAGACCTAATATTGCCCTACTACTTCTCTACTCTTACTCTTTTTCAAACAAACAAACGAAAATATGATGCTTCACATACTCGGCTGCTCTGACTCTGCCATAGATGATCACCATTAACACTGGATGAACCTGCAACACACAAAAAGAGTTAAAATGAAATGAAATCAAATAAAATCCTTATACCTTCAAGAGATTTCAGAGTTAAAATCTTTTAAATTGTGCCAACATATTACTGTATTTCAGATGTATCAAATCAAATTCAGCGTAATAATCCTCTAGTCCTCGTCCATGTTTTACCTATAACAATTCTCTGAGGAGGTAGAACAAATGGCTCATTAGCTCAGTTGGTTAGAGCGTCGTGCTAATAACGCGAAGGTCGCAGGTTCGAAACCTGCATGGGCCATTTTGCTTTTTAACCCTTTTTATTTGGCCGAGATTCGAATGAACAACATGTTTTTCTTTACCCTTAAAACAACATGGCAATGTCTGAACTCTGAACTTTGCTTAAAAACAGCTGCAAAAGCAGTGAAACTTTGTCGTTTAACTTCACATCTTCAAAACAAGTATACAATGTATTCTTATTTTAAGTACAGAACATTCTTGGTATCGCAGTAAACAAAAACTGACCAAAAAACAGGATTTTCTTTACCCCCAAAAACCTCATCGTCAACTACAAATTCAAATATATACAAAATGCAAGATCCCGAACCTACTAAAAGAAGTTCTCTTGTTAGTTTTTAACCCGATGCTTCAAGCAGACAATGAAGTTTGGAATATTGATGGTTTAGTGAGTGACAAAATGGTAGAGACCATAAGCTTTCGATCTATAGGCTTTGTCAGATAAGCATCCATTCCAACCTCCAAGCATTTCGCTTCGTCAGAAGACATTGCATGCGCTGTCAATGCCACGATTGGAATGTGCAGCTCAGTGCCAATCTCTGCTCTCCTTATCGCCTTCGTTGCGTCATATCCATCCATTTTTGGCATCTACGATGAGAAAATGTTGGATAAAATGTCATGTTTTAACATGTCGAATTGAATTCATAAGTGAAAAGTAACTTTACCTGGCAATCCATGAGGATCAAGTCATAAGGTGAGGAATTCCGTAAACTACTCTGCGGATTTATAGAGTTGTTGGCGGTTTCTTCTTCTGACGATGTCGGTTCTCCAGTTGGATCTTGAACATTTATAGACCTGTAGTTGAGGGAATCAACTGCTTGTTGTCCATCCCAGACTGCAGTTACAGTTGCTCCCATTTTCTCAAGCATTATGGTGGCTACTCGTTGAAGAACGGGTGTATCCTCTGCCAGCAAGATCCTAATACCTTCAAGAGATTTCTGATTCTTTCCATCCAATGCAATTCCTGAATACAGCCGATCTTTCCAATCTTCTTCTTCTAGGTTCTTTTGAGTCGTACTTGCAGATGTTGAGTCATCATTGCTGTTATTGGCGTCAATGAGATAGTTCTTAAGAACTGGAGAGTGCAAGGTGCTTGGTTGCACAGATTTATCTATATGTTTCTCGCCAGATGTCTCAGAGGAATCATCGGAACTGCAAGTGTCGAATTGTGTTGGATCGATTTCTAAGAAATCGTGGGATTCATCACTTCCGTTTCCTCTGTTTCTTAAGCCATTACATCTCTTCCGGTTTTTTATTACAGCTTCCAGAATCTGAATCATTTTGGCCTTGTACAACGGTTTGTTAACCATCATGACATGCCCTTTTCGTCTAAGTTCTGTTTTGACTATATTGGAGGTGTCATGCTTCAGCAGCCAAGCAAACTTTGCTTTGTTGGAGAATCTGTCGAGGTAGTTAAGCTGTTCCTTCCATATATCTGTGGTGAGATCAAGTACTCCGATATCCACCACTACGACAAACACAGGGTTCTTGATTTCTTCTATATTTGAAAGCTCTGCTCTCAGTGAATCAGCAATATTGTTCTGTGAATCAAAGCTGTTGTCACGGCTTCCCATCTCCAAAAG